GATAAAATCGATAGTTATGTTTACGTAATAGAAGTTTTTCCTACTCACGATCTATTCGATTGGCCTGAAATTGATGCCAATATTTTGCAACTAATGACTATGCTCTTCCCTCTGCGTATAAAAAGTTCAATTGTTTCAGAAATAATAATAAGTAGCCAACTATAAAAGTTTGGTAGCGAATGTTTGCAAAATATTGGCACCGATTTTAGAGTTTATTTGATTTTGAATTAATGGAACAATTTCAGGCAAATAATATATAATTTATAGGTATATTTAATAAAGTAAAAATTAAGTATTATATTTCATTTATATATAAATGTGAAACATTATAAATTCAATAACTATATTTTCAGATATATGAATAATATTAACATTCATTTGATTTTTAATTTACAGGTATTAGTACCCGTACGTTTAAGTTTAAAATTACAAAATTATGGAATTATCATATTACAATTTGTATAGTGTAAAAATTAGTAAAATCGTAAAATGATTTGTTTGTTAAAAGAAAACATAAATTACGAAATTAAATATTATACATTTTCAACTACAAAATGATAAGTAATAAAGATAGATGTAGTTATTTGCTTAATAATAATCAACATAAAATGATTAAAAATATATACTCATTTATAACATATAAGTATATTATTAATTTTACATTTAATGATTAGATTTAATGTTTAATTTAACTATACACACAAGAAACAAAGAATAATTGTTAGTTTTAATTTTATTTTTTTTATGTGAGCAAAAGAATTTAAGATGAAAAGAAAAATATTTTTAAGCATCAATGCCAAATTATCATCCAGCTCATTAGTCATGATTATTGTACTGGCTTATTATGATCACTATTATATTATTTAACTATTTTTATACTTAATATACTAAGTACTTTGAAAACAATCGTGGTGGTAATTTTTTTCGTCGGTATGTAATTCAAATACGTTATCAAATAGTACTATTAGCATTAATTGGTATTTATAAAATTAATGAAATGTATTTTGAATGTAAAATAATTTTTTACTACGATACCCATGCATGATTTTTAATTATTATATTAATGTCCTTTTTCTTATCACATCTGTAATTTTAAAAAAAGAATTATAACATAATTAATTATTCATAATACTAGCATTGTGATATAACATGATTAATATTTTTTTGTTAAATGACTTTATAACTACAAAATGAATTATGATTAGTGGATAGTTCATAACTTTACCAAAAACTATAATTACCTACAATAAATGTCACATTGATCAAGTCACTGGAGTTTTTAATCATATTATAAAAAAGGTTAGAAAATAATATAGGTTTTCTAAAAGCCTTTTTAATTTCTACATTATTAATTTTAATAAAAATATCCAATACTTTAGTACTTAAATTCAACAAAAATGATATATTTCTAACGTTACTTTTTAGGGTCATTCCGGCAGTACATTTTAAACCAAGATATTTGTTTTGACTTTTTTTTTTCATAATTTTTGGCGATTTAACTTTTAATGTCATGGCTACACAGAATATTTTTAAATGATTTATGTTATAAAGCTTACAAAAAAATTATATTTACTATTTTTCATAAGTAAATTTTATAATATGAAGCTAAAGCAGATTTGTATATTATATAAGTACATATTATTATTAACCAAAGTGTGAAAATAAAATAATATTTTCTTGAAAGTGTGCCTCAAAAAAATGTTCTAGAATAATTTAAAACTATATGATAATATAATATACACTGATTATTAATTACATTATACCGTCATAAACTCTCATAAAATGAGTTTATACTTTCGTAATATTCTAAAGTTAATTATAATTCAATAATGTTTAACATCAAACCAAAATCTACAATATAAAAATCAACTATTAGTTTTATTTTATTTTCGACCAAATGTAGGTTTAACAATATCGTTTATAATGTAATTATACGTTACTCATGTAATAACATTTAAATCGTAAATAAATTGTCTAAACAATATTACAATACATAATCTAACAATATCATCGAACTAATTATTTTGTTTTGCGTAACTTATAATAATTTACTAATATTGGTAAAATTTCGTTAGGATATTTATACAATTATTATTAGCCAGAAAAGGTATGAAAACGATATACAAATGTTTATATTATATACAATACATATCTCTGAATTTTATTACAATGAAAAAACCATATTTTATTTCATTGGCATGTTTTATCGTATATCTACGGTAGGCTCGTTTAGCAACAGAAAATCTATATAATCCGCTACGGTCATAGTTTATTATTAAAATCACGAAATGAAAATCAAAAAGGTTTTATCACGCCTTATTGCCTCTCTTGGCCAATAAACAATATAAAATACCTTAAAAGGAAACACCGTTAACTCTTTTGTCTGGTAATGCCATTTTTAATGTTAGCATTAAATCTCTGAGGGAAATCGAATAGTAATAACCAAAAAGTTTAACATCAATAACAATAAATGTAAAATTTATCGTATAAGTTTTTATAATTTACACATTTAAAATAATTTCAATATTGTTATTTATTAAAAGTTTCTGTTTTACAAACTTATGCGTTAATAAAATAATATCTATACTAAGTAGTTTTTTAAATATATTTACTATTATACTCTGTTAATGAGTCTAATCTTATTCGAATTAGTTAATACTTATGTTAAGACGTTATGAACGCTAAAAACTTGTTTTATTTTCCAAAGAATTTAACTTAAAAATATCGTGAATTTCTACATTTTCGTTTTGATAAATTATGACTTTTTAATATCGTTTAATATGTTTTTATTTTTTATTTTTTTATCAGCAATATTCATATTTTATAAATAAAAAAATTACATAGGTACTAACATTTGTTAGTCGATTCATTTTTATTGCATATTTATGTTATAATCATTATAAAATTCGTTCTTTGTTCATCAATTTTAATTTTTAAATGAACATAAAAATAAATATTAGGTATTAATATTTTTTTATTGTTCATATCACTATTTTTAAAACTATTGGTTTTAGACGTTGCGTAATAAATTATATTTCCTGCATAAATGTGTTCTCTAAAATATCTGCATAAATGGAAGTCAATTTATTTAAATCTAACATAATATTTACATATTAAGAAAAATTATAAAAGATGATATATAATATGTAAAAGTATTTAGATATATTTTTAAGTAAAATTTCAATTAAGTACTGGAAACAGCCAAATTTATAGTAAAGTATTTTTTTCTTTTAATTCACCATTTAATCAATCACAAAAAATATTTTATACATTCTTGGTGTTATAGTCACTTAGACTTATTAGTCAAACTAAAAATAAATATTTTCGCAACATATAATGTAATTTAGTTCACTTAAGTGATAAGGCATTACTATTATACTGTTATTTCATAGATATTTGGAATAAAATTGTATTTAATAATAATTAAAACTCGATTATAAAAATAAAACTCCACTTAAAATTTATTTTATTAATATTATCAATATTTTTATGCGTAAGTTTGAAAATGTTTGATATAAAATATGATTTCTTCATATATAAATAATATTATTAATATACGTATATTATATATATATATATTTATTCATAATTACTCATTAATAAGTAACCTATTTTTTTTATTTTTTATTTTTTTTTTTTTATAGTTATATTATTCGAATAATCATTAATCGAGTTATTTGAAAATGGAACGAATTATCAGCACTTCAATATAATCCTGGAGTAAAGCTTATATATTAAAATCTATATGACTATCATACAAATAATATCTAGATAAGAAAAACTAAATTTTTAACTACAAACTACAAACAACGAAATTCATCCTATATAATTTCGATGGACACCATTAAAAACTTAAACAAAACTATTAGAATCTTACACATAAATGGTTAAATAATCTCATTTAATATGAACTCAAATATTATATCGTTCAAGTAAATGAGCAAATAAAGCAAATACTTTACTCTATAGATTCAACAGTTTTAACCGAATTTTACTTTTTAGTGTTCAATGAACTCCTATAATAATTCTAGTTTTAAAAATATTATTAACTATGTTTATTTTATTTCTTTACGTGAAATATTGCGATGCAAAATTAATCTTAAAAACTTACTAAACTAATTATTATTAACTATAAAATAGAAAAACTACAGTTAATTTAAAATTGTAGTATTATTTTTACGTACGAAAATCTGTAGCTTTTATAATTTTTATTAGATGCTATAAAATTATACTAATGAATCAAAATAAATTAAATCAAAAAATATTTAAACAGCCTCCCATTTTTAGGCATGTTTGTAACATTAAATGTATTTTATTTACGACCTTAATCTCACGACTTTATACACATAAACTAGGAAAAGGGTGCACCAGAGCAAAATGTTACGCAGAGATTGGATTTTAACTTGGAATAATTTAATTTTAAGGCGGAGTACTGGAGAAGCAGTATGTTGAATGAAACTGTAGTATATTTACTAACTCTCGTTAATCGTAAAATGTACATTAAATTCTTATCTATTTAATCATTTTTTTAAATTATGTTTTCAATAAAAATCATCACATAAAATATTAGTGCTACCTATATTATATGCAAAATGTTTTCCAATAAAAATTTAAATTATTGTTCAGTTAAAAATGCTCTCATCTTTCAATCATAATGACTAAGTTTAAAGGCAACTTGTATTAAATATAAAATAATATCCAACACCTAGTGATAAATATTTCAATTAAAGTAAACTTTTTACTAGTACCTAGATAAAATAAATTCTTAATAAAATATCGTATGTAACATATTATTTTGCGGATATCGGTGCTATTTCATGAATACTAAATATTAAACAAATTACTCTAGAATTATTTTAATGATTTTAAATAATTTAGTTTTACACATTATGATTAATACCATTGTAATTCGCGTGATTAATTCAACTATTCTGCCTATATATATATGAGAATAAATAAAAAATATTTTGTCACTCATTTGTTTTCTATTTGTGTTACAGAAGAAGATATTGATGAATTCAATATACACGTATCAAGGTACAGACCAGAAGAGTTAACAAAACTCACAAAAATTACCAAATTCAATAAAAAAGAAATTCAACTAATTTATAGAGGTTTTAAACAGGTATGTTCGTAAGATGTTAAGTTTTGACATTTATTTTTACTTGGTATTTTGAGGCGGTAGGTTTAAGAAAATTAATTTTAATATTTCAACTATAGGAGTATATGACTAACAAAGGAAAACATTTTTCTTGCGTCCTTGCATTTTCGTAAGACATAATGATTAATAGCTGAATAATACCGAGCTTTAAAGATAAAAGCATAGAGCTCATCGCATTAATTAAGTTAATCATTTGTATGATAATAAAGTGCTATTTTGATTACTTATAAACAATCTTATTTTTAGACATACAATAATTGGCAATCTTATTAAGATTACTAGATTTAATTTTAAAACAAATATTTAATTGGTAAAAATTAATAAATAAATTTATTTTTATTAGTAATTAAAAATTATTCATAAACATGTGTCTATATTATTAAGATATTTTTTATCAATTTGTATGCGATCTTATACATTTTTATGTTTCTAATTATTTAATATTTTTTTCTATATTTCATGAACTTAAATAACTACAATGATATTTGGAAAAAATATTTTTCTACAATAAAATTTATGCTTAATTCAATTTTAAACCAAAACTTAAAGCATTATGAGCTTTTCAACTATCAAGAACAAAATTTTCTAGAAATAACCTTTAAATACAAATCATGGATGTACATATATATGTCTCTAGTTAGAAATTTTACTTTTATAAATTTTTTAATTTTGTTGTTAATTGGCATATATTCTTGTAAATTATAAAATTATGAAATAAATTCATATGTCTACTCATGTAATGCAATGTAATTAGGAATTAAATTTCAAAGTCCAAAAATCTGAACTATGATTATTTTTGTTTACTTTTTAGTTAATTACATTTCTTTAAATATATAATTTATATGTACATTTTGTTTTAGGAGTGTCCTACTGGTATGGTAGATGAAGATTCGTTCAAACACATATTCTCACAATTTTTTCCCCAAGGTGGTTAGTAAATAAATTAATATAATATATAAATATTAATCGGTATTACAAAAAAATATATTTTATTAAATATTTTTAACATACAATGTATTTGTATACTAACTGGTAATAATTTTAAGGCGGAAAGAACATAAATACACATGAATTTACTGTATGAATACTTAGTACAATATTTATGTTACATAATTATAATTTAGATAATTTTTTCCACAATATTCTAAATTTAATTTCTTTTATATACAAAATTCTATGAGGTCGCCAACTTGCAACTTGTGTTTGTTTTATTGAATAAAATTTACTTATCATTATTATTATTATTATGAATTTTAATTTTTTTTTTTATTATTATTATTTTATAAAAAATTATCAAATTATTACATAAAATGTATTTATAAACTTTTTACCTCTTAATATTATTGTATTTATCCATATGGCTCGCGAACACATATTTATGTTGGAAACCCCTATATAGTTATTTATATTTTAAAGAAAGAGTAATTAATTTTAAATCTTAAAGTATCAAAAAGCGTGTTAAAATCCATCAGGAATTTATTGTATTAATATCTCATTAATAAATTAATCTGATTCAAATCATCTAAACTAAACATACATCACATCATGTTCACATATTATAGTATTCAATAGCACACTAATCAATGACGATAAACACGATTTAACATCATAATTTTGAAATTTATGTTTCTATATTTTTTTAATTCTATTCTAAGTAGAGTGAGAAGTGCATTAGTTTAAAAATGATATGTAATTTTTATTTTACACTGTATAATTATTACTTACTAATTAGCTCCTAAACTTTATTTATTATTTGTACTAATTTTCAACTATAAGATGTATCTATGTCTAATTTTAAATTATTTTTCATAATGATTTAGTGTGAATTAATTTATAATTATCATTTATTTTAGATGCCTCACAATATGCCCAATATGTGTTCAATACAATCAAGAGAAATCAAACTGGAAAAATTAGTTTCGAGGTAATTAAATTTTGCGTATAAAGTTTTAGCCATAAAACAAAAATCTTTATATTACAATATCTGATTAAAATATAAATCCTAAATAGTATTTATCTGAATATTGATAAAAATATATAAGTTGAATGCACATAAAATTATACAGAAATTAAAAAATTCTCTAACCAAAAAAATTTTAATTAGGCGCCGGATTTTCGTAAAATACTTATAATGTGTAGTTTCTATTAAATCGACAAAATTAAAAGTAGTTTTAAAAAAATATATATATATTTAGAAACTATGCCAAGTAAAACATAATATTATTATGTTTCAATAATAATAATATGTGTACTTATAGTATTTGTCGCACATATTTCATTTTTAATTCTTTACTTTTACTTTAGATTTTATATTTACACTTATAATATTTATAATATCTTATTCATTATTAATTTATTAGTGGAATCAAGAAATTAGCTATAAACTATAATACTTAATTTTTTTTTTCTAAAAAAAAAAATCAATGTGATCCGTTAAGGTGAGTATACTAGTAGTTTTAAAAAAAATTTAATTTAAAAAAAAAAATAATACTTTTTTCATCTTACTTTCTCCCTTCATTTATTTATCTCTGTTGCATATTTGTGAATACATTTGATATATTTGTAAAATCATCTCTCGTTTTTTTAATGTTAACGTGGATTCTTTTTTTAATTTATATTTTCAATCGAAAAATCAAAAGAAAAACTTTTTTAATTCATTTCAAAATTGAAAACGAACTAGAAATACCTGAAGTTTCTTATCAATGATTTTTAACCATTATGAAAAGGAAACCTTTTAATATATTCGCTTAAAATTTTATACAGTGTTAACATAGATACTTGATGTACTTGAAAAACTGTTGTCAAGTCTTAAAATTATTTTAAAATAAAATAAATCTTGCTATAAAAGAAAACAAAAATGTTTTATATATATTATAAAAAGTTATAAATTATATCATACGAAAGTGTCTGGAAGCAACATATACGAAATTAAAATTAAACTAGTTTATTAATTTTAAATAAATGTAAATACAATTTTTTAATAGTGAAATTAACAATTATAATTGTTAAAAATTTTATTTTTTTTTCTCATACTTTTTCACATTTCTTATACAATTAATTAAAAAATTATACTGGTACCTATCTAATTTTTATTTTTCCTTTAAAGAACATTATATTTATATTTGCAGCAATTGCTTAAAATTACCCCACTTCACTTATGTTTAAATATATTATTAATTATTTAAAATGTAGTTTACAATATAAAACTGATTTCAATTTTCTTTTTTTAATTGTTATTATTAATTAAATAGACATTTAAATAATAAGGCTTGTAAGTTCTAAGTGATATTAACCACTAAATAAAATATTTGTTTACAATTAATGTTAATAATTGTGTGTAATTGTATTTTATTTAATTTAATTTTTTATACTTAAATGTGCATATACTTTAGCGTACCCGGTTTTATTCAAAAATAAACTTCATAATAAATTTTATATGTGTTACCGAAGTACTCAAAGGAATTTCAATTTATTTTTACGATATTTTTTCAATAAATAACTATTGTCTAGATTTTAATTTTCTCTCGAAGTCTTGGAATTCCATTGAGGTCGGATACCTATAAAAATTTTAATACTCCTTAACTAAAGCCAATAAATATAATAAAAATACAACTTTATGATATTATTTATATACATAGATAATTTAATAATAAATATTATTTATAATTTAAAAATGTTATATTATTTCAAATTCATATATTTAAAATTTAAATAATCAAAAAAATAGTTTTATTTATTTTAATATTGATAACTAAATTAGTTGGTAATAAAAAAAATGTAAACCGTATTACAAATAAGGATCGTTTTAATTAAAAAGTTAACACAAACTATCATGAAAACAATAATTTTCTTATTAAAAATACTTATATGTATAATATGTATATTATAGGTATTCGGAATAAGAATTCATATTTATTTTAATAATAAAATTTATAACAATATTATATTTCATGAAAAATATACGTAATACTTATATGACGTGTTTAGTGTAAAATATAGATATTAAATAAAGTATACTGCATTTTTATATTTTAATAAAGCGTTCAGTAATTTAAACAAGCAGAGTGTAAAATTATATGATTAAAATGAAATATAATCTGTTTGGATAATTTATTTATTTTTATTTTGAACAACTGTACTTCATTAAAAGCTATTTTTCGCTCAAGAAATTTAATTAACTAAAGAAATCTAACTTACACTACAACTAACAGTTAACTACAATAAAACTAAGATCTTTACCAACCTTTTTTTATAAAATTTATTTAAAATTAAAAATGTTTTAATTAGTTTTTCTAGCATTAGCTGTAGACAAATAATTTATTACAGTTATTATAAAATAAACAACATAATTTTTATTATAAAACTGAAATAATAATATGAATATTTCACTAAATATTTATTTGTGTATTATTAAACTTTTTTATTACAATGACATTTACATTAGTTCATTCGTTTTTTTATATAAATATTTATATTTGAACATTTTTTATTTTATTTTATGATTAAATTATATTTATATAATGCTGAGTTATTTTTTTAGTAGGATATTCCATAATATGTGTAAAATAAAAAATTCTACAAATTAGGTAGGTTAAACTAACCCTTTTTTAAATTAAAATCAGATTATCGTAAAATTTCTAGTTTTATTAAGACGGTTTTCATATATTTTGTAAGTTGAGAATATTTTTTCATTTTTAAAATATTAATTTTTATCCATTCGACACACGTAAAATCATTTTTGATAGGCTATTATTGGAATAAGTAATTTAAAAATTAAAAACAAAAAGGTACATATTTTAAAGTTTTAATGTTTCTAAAGAACTATTTTTCAAGTGCAATTATTTATCATTGAATTCAAATGTATAATTACTATCCTACGCCGGTTTAAGCGAAGCGAGACAAATGCCCAATAGCTGGTATCAGAATATCCTGTTATTCCTGTTATAGGCGTTATGGCTCAGTTGAATAATGTATATAATAACGAAAATCAATAAATACAAATAAGAACCTATATTAAATGAGCCCATTAATATTTAACGGTAATAACTAAATGTGCGATGAATTTTGGTATTTGCACTACATTGCTTTTAAAATTGTTTTTGATTTGAAATATTTTTCTTATAAAATGTATTGATAAGATTATCAGAAATCTTCTAAGTAGTCGTATCATTAAAAAAAAAATAAATAATTCGATAATAGTGAATTGTAATTTAATATTATCACTTCTATAAAGTTTTAATCCAAAATAAGTCATATCATTAATAATAATACACGCAGCTCGTGGTTTTTCATTAATAAATATGCAGGATAATTTATTGGTAATTTAGCTATTGCCGTTATAATGTCATTTACGAACCAATAGTTGTTTATTATTCTAATTAGTTTGTAACTAAAAACTAACGTGAATGGTTAAGTTATAAATGTGGTGTTTGTGAGCGAAATATATTGAATTAAACATGTAATGAAAAAGTTTGTTATAGTCGTCTAATGTGTAGATATGTAGTAATAAACGTTTGCTTTACAATACTATAAATTGTGTAAAATAACATAAAAATACCTTAGAACAAAAATTGAAATGAGTTTAAAAATTTCATTTTCATGATAATATTTTATTTTTATTAGGTTTAATATATACATTATTCAATATTAATAATTGTATTACGCGTCTACATTAGCATGATTAAAGTTTAGATCACTCATCACCCTGCATAGGTGCCTATCCTTAATGGTACAATTGATGATAATAATTCTTTTATTAAATGCCAGTCATGTATATAACGTAGTTTTATGTGACTGTCACGTATTGGAAAAGTTATTATTTTTGTTATAATATACTCGTTACTGATTTTCAAAAGAATATATATGTATACCCAGGATCCCTATAACGAATTACTGTGCTACACTTTTCAATGACATAGCGTGTCCGTTAAACCGAATAATAATCATGTATTATTTTATGTATTGGTATATTTGTTTTCGGATGACTGTATTCATTACAGTAATTTATTACATTAAACTTATTTTAATTTTAAATCATAATCTTTAGTAACGATATTTAAAAAACATTCTGCAAATATTATTAAAAGCTATTATATGATAATGTAAAAAATTAAAAGTATTTTAGCAACGTTAAAAAAAAAATACTTCATATTTATTATCTTATGTAACAAACTATATAATAAGTTTTAAAATTTGGGCAGAATGTTTGTAGAGGAATACTACAATAATAAAAAGTAAGAAGCTTTATAATATATTCTAAATTGTATAGTATACACGAAGATTAACTTTGTGAGACCCCGAATATCCATACATTAATCTGACAGATTTCATATCTTTATATAGTAACTAAATAACTTAACAATACATATATTATTGAAAATTTAATTTAATTAACTCAATGCATTATTTTTATTATAGGATTTTTTGGCCATACTGTCAAAAGTTTCTCGAGGAAGTGTTCAAGAAAAACTCCACTGGATTTTTGGCTTGTATGATCTCAATAAAGACGGAGTTATAACAAAAAAAGAAATGCAAGACGTAGTACATTCCATTTATAGCATGCTAGGGAGACATACTGATCCACAAACAGATGATCAATCTGCGAAAGACCACGTTGACCGAATTTTTCATGTAAGTTACTAATTATCGTTATTATTTAAAAACGAGTTAAGATTTAGAAACAAAGAATAATACATTTAAATAATAAATACTATTATAAATTATATGAGTATACTATTTACTTACCTAAACTTGATGTACTAATATTATGTTTCTAACATTTTATTTACATATCTACTTTATATAATTTCTTTTTATTGTTAAACGATTTATATAACATATGCTGAGAAGCATAATAAGTATATGTGAAAAATGAAATTGCACGGAGGAGCTTGATTAAAAAGTCACCCAATAATAATATTTAACTTGAAGAGAAGACGTTATAAATATTAAATTAACGTTTTAAGTTTTATTTTACAAAAATACAACAAAAACATAATCTAAACAAAACTAAAATTATTATCTGCTTTAAAGTACGTTCGTGTACTCTTTAAATAAAACCGGACGCAATTCATCTAGTAATTTAGATAAGGCCAGACGCTAATCATGTAATCGTTTAGATTCAGACGGACACAATTATTCATGTACCCACTTTTTAAATTTTTTATATCCAGACCCAATTTGTGTGTAGTCGATACTTAAGTGATTATATTATTATCAGGCCATCGTTGACGGTCCTCAGATAAAGAGACAACAATCGATGTGAACTTTGTTACAAAACTGAACAGTAATTAAATTGTTAAAAATAACAGTTATTTTGGAGTTACAAAAACTAGTATGCATTCGTATTTTGTACGCTTTGTACAAATGCGTAATAAAAAAACTAATTAAGAAGTTATTATAGTTATTTCATTGATGATATCAATATAGTACTACTTTTGTTTAATAATCATTGTAAGTGCTGTACTAGCACACAAATTGGCATAGCGAGTCACGAGACAATAAAACATGTGTGTATCAGACGGCTGACGGTTCAGAACTACTTTGTCTAATTAAACATTTAAATCTTATAACTATCAATACCTATAAAACACGCAATTCAATTCTCAGATACAGATTATCAGTTACGAGTACATAGTAGAAAATTCTACGATTACGAGTAAGTCTCTACGGTAATGCGTAAAAACAATAGTGTAGAAATATAATAATATATATATTTATATCGATGAAAAATAAAAAATTGTATATAACTGTAATTTCGTTAAAAATCTCGTTTTACATAGGAAAATCGTTAAACTTAAATATATTTTAGAATAAGTCAACCTGCTGTTTTTTACGGTTACCGGCATAACACGACTCACTAGTCTAATGAAAATGTGTGTGATGTAATATAGTAGATATATATTAATATTGTTATAGAACATTTTTTAGATGACTAAGGCCGATAGAATATAGATTATCTATAGATGTGAGCGCATACGATTACAGAGCGATTATAAGTCGATAATCTATAAATTGTATACATCATAAAAAAGTGTTATGTCAAACTACAGCTAAATAACATAATATAGTACGTGAAAACAAATAATACACAGTTAAGTTTTATATCATACGTAGATACATCGACACACTTTTGATTAGTTACAACCATTCACTATAAAAATCAGGTCGGAAGTTCTGACTCAGAACCATGGCGAAGTATTAAGCAAAAACATGTTTGCCGATTAATCAGCGACCAATTATTATTGTTTTTTTTTAATTACAATTATTTTGAATTTTTTATGGAAAATTAAGAATGTATATTTATTTTCAACTGTTCAATGGAAAAAAAAAACGGGTAACGAAATTGTGATAAATTAAGTCAAGGAGCTCGCAAAAGGTAAAATGACAATATGTTAAAATATCGTTTTAAATTCGAGACATATCCGCTAGCTAGTAACAAAAATAAATAATAACATTGCTATGACGATGACAACAAAAATTGTGCGAACGAACGATCACTACATTAAATATTTATTTCAGTTTGTAGACCAGTTAATTGCATTACAGTTACAGTTTATAAGTTCAGATACACCTGCAATATAAAAAAAAAAAAAAAAAATACTATGAAGAATCTAAGGAAGTTCTTTAAAGCTTTTGTGGGATGTTGCGAGGGGTGTATCGCCGTAAACAGACCAAAGGTACAAAAGAACACAAATCGGCCGAGAAAGGACGAGGACCGATGGAATTCGTTGATGCACAGAGCAAGTTCGAAGACAAATCAGGTCAAACGGAAGATTTGGGGAACAGCAGCGTCGGCGTCTGCGACAGCGGTGACAGAGGGCCATAATACGAAGAGAAAACGTGTCAGACGGAAGACGTGAATAGCAGCGGCGGAAGTGGCGGGCCGCCCGACGAGTCGTACAGCGACGACCACGACGTGATTGTCGTCGGCCGCGAAGTGGCCGGAAGGTATTGCACCGCGCCGTACAACTAGCCGGAAGACGCGTGGCAGTTGTACTCGGAGACCGCGCGCAGTAGCCAGTAGGTACACGCAAGTGAGTGGACGGCCCGCGAATCGTGGTCACGGGCTGGCCACAGTTGCGCGAGCTGTTCGCAGCTGCGGGAGCGAGCGGCAACGTCGGAGACGGCCAACCCGTGGCCGTCCAATCGATTTACACCGTTCGGTGCGCGCCCGGCCAGTTTTGGGTGACGGCGACCGCGAACGGTACGAACAATCGTTCGTGGTCCAGTTCGGTGCAGCCGGAGCCGTATCGCGTTGGTCGCGTGCATCGTGCAGCACGCGTGTGCCGCGCGACGGCCGCCTCCGCCGCCACCGCGGACGTGGCGTCCACGACATCTGACCACGTATCCCAACGTTTGCTCAATGTGGCACTGGTGGATGCGTCCGCGTCAAAGCGCCACGACCGGACCGATAGTTATCGAACTAAATTCCTATGGTTTGTGACGTTCAGTGGGTCCGAGACCGTTGAGCGGCCCTTGCCGGTACACCGATCGAGCTGATAAACAGCAATTTGGTTAACGTTCACCAGCCCAAACGCCGGTGACGCCGCGCACAGCGGTTTAAAAATCAAAATAGTAGGCCAAAATTCTAATTTTCACAGAACTCTTATGAAATGACATATTATATACGAAATAATTCGTGTTTGTATATACCGACTTAAACGGCCTGCACGTGACCTAGTTTCTATCAAAACATGCCCAACAGAAAACTCTCAAACCTCGTAAAAGAACCAATTACAATGATGTTATTATTATTATTTTTGAATGAGAAATACTTCTTTCAGAGCGCATTGGAAAAAAAAACAGGAAATCAAATATAAGTCAATGTAAAATAATTCATATTTATAAATCTATCTTTTTGTCTACAGTAATTGTTCCGCATTTAATAAAATATCTATAATTATTTAAAATTATAGTAATAATTATAATTTTGTATATATTTATATTGTATGAATACCTAACTGTAAAGTTATTACATGTAGTAACCTGTTAAAGAACAAAAAATTTAAACACTTAGCGATATTCTCGATTTTATTTTGTAGTTCATTATCCTTTGGATAATTTTTTTAAATATTTAAGACATAATCTAAGGCAACTTTTTTTTTTGTTTACACAATGAGTTATGAGTTGTATTATTATTAAAAATTTATTTATGGATTTCATAACATGTAATTAGTGGAACTAAAGCTATTATAATATTAAAAATACTGTGTAAATATAATTCAATAAATATTGCTTATAAAAAAAGGCTTTCAAACTTCCAATTAACGAGCAAATATGAACAAATAATTATGACATTTTTGTAATCAATAGATTGTAATTTAACTGATGTTGTTAATACCATGGTATAACTCGATGAAAAAAAAAATTAAATTTGTATGTTTATTGATTTATTATCATATTATTTTTAACGTTGTACGTTTTAATGACCACATATAGGTTAATAATTTTATAATTAGGTCATTAAATATACTATATAATGATTAGTTACAAAATATCATAATTTTTAAGATAAAAACTATATTTTGTCTTCTTTTACATTATTTTAAGTATATGCCTAATAATATTTTGCAATAATTTTTACATATTTATACACCTTGGGTAGTATACAAAATAATTTTACTATATTTATTTAAGTACCTTCAAATTCAAATTATTGAATTTTGATTTTTGAATCACTTTGGCCCGACTCAAGCGTTTAAACACCACTAGGCAAATTTGAGTTTGGCCGCCCTTTACATGTAAAATTTTTAAAAATTATCTATTACACAAAATTTTTTAATGTAACCTGTGAAAAATGTCACTCTAGGTGTAGGTCTATGTCGCCTACCACTTGAGCCGGTCCCGAATTTATACGACAACAGTTTTGTATTCAGCGACAACGCTATAAGCAATAAAATATGATAGATTTCAAACAATACAAGATCATAAAATACTCATTGGTGTCGGCTGGTTTTTTCATCAACCTATAATCGACTCAATTTCAGAAGATAACACACCGGTTACGTGCCTATATAGCGATCAACGCCCGGAGGCAGTCCCGAGGCCAATTTCTCCCATTTTCACACCGAAATTTTGCGACATACGTACACGAATGTCGCCAATGAGTACACACTGATTTCAATTATTTGTAATATCTCATCGGCAGCAGCGGTGGTTGTCCGAGCAAACAGACTACAACGGTTAGAGAAAAAGTTAACAGGTGTCTGTGATATTTGACACCAGATGTATAATATCGTTTCACAACGAGCAATCGCTCGTCGGTAGCACGCTTGTCGTGACCAACGGTACTTGATGGGAACACTGTGTTGCTGAACACTGACTGACTACATTTTTTTTTTATTCGTATAATATACACATCAGAAGAAAATATTTTTATTTTAAAAAACCTTCACAAAGTTACAAACATGGACAACTATCTAACAATAAACCATTATCGTCATCTTCAACTTCAAAATCGCTATCAAGAACAAAACTTGAACATACCTATATCGCCTCCGAAAATCGATCCGTCTTAGAGAGAGTCAATTTTCAAGCATTGAATGAATAATTTAAAAATCAAAAATATTTTTAGTCATAAACTGTTTTTATAATACAACACTGACATATATCGTTTTGAAACAATTTCATCTGAAGATCGATCCCGTTGTAAGACGGTTGCTGATAGAAAATACGAAAAACTATTGACTAGAATTGCAAGTTTGTACACGAGATTGATAAAAAGAATTATCAATCTGTTACAATGAAAATAAATTTGAAATAGTCATAAAATCATATTATTAACCAATTATTTTCGTTTAAACGGTGAAAAATTTAAAGAATTTGTCGTGGAACATAAATTTGAGCAATGTTATAAACATAAAAAAAATTAAGGTAGTTTTATATTATCCGGTAATGGACAGACCATACCTATTATTTAAATTAGTAATTTGATAAATATTGTTTCCCTGTATTTAATTAAAAAAAAAAAAATGATTATGTAACCGAATATTTATGCATTATCAATTAACTTTTAATATAATTCAAAGATTATAAAAAAAATGTTTTAAATAAATACAAATTAAAATATAATTTCGCTTAAAGATTATGCCATAATGTTTTAAATAAATATACATTATTATTAACTTACAATATAAAATTTGTTTACAGATTGTAATTTTATCATCCTCGCAATTACCACGTGTGATTGTAATGCAAACAATTTTAGTAATTTTGTTACAATATAATTTAATAAATTATACTTATTCAATTTTATATTATTATCTAAAACATATCGTAGATAATTTATTACATATACTACGTATATTATTTATACTAAAAACATTTGTATCGTTCTGTCTATTGTGGTCCGTAATAGTGGAAAATTATCGCGGCGTTTGGTTTCTAAACCTTAGATTTTTATTTCGGGGTTGGAATGTTTATTCTCATACATTAACCTGGCATATCGTTTTTACATACCAACAAAAATGGATTGTACGTGCACTCAAATTCTGTACGAATAAACTCGTCAAACACAAATGTTATTTCACCCTAGGTTTTTTTTCGCAAAATCGAATAGCCAATCAACGTCATCCGGAAAAATACACATTATGGAATTCGTGTTACCGTATATCACTTTCAACCCGTTTCGGAACACGACCGTATCCACGGCTGATAGTCATTCTGTCATTTACAAAAACGATCTGATCACGTTAGACAGATGAATTTCTAAAACCATACGTTTTCTATCACAAAGAATTGTACAGATTAAACCACGGTAGCATGGACGCGCAGACGTTCGGCTTGCCCATTTAATGCTTTCAACAACGATTTTAAAATAGCCGATGTTGACAACGCCGTATACAAACAGATAATAGTATTCTCGATAGATTGCATGTACGGAAACTTTGTAAACAGAAAGATTGCATAATAACTGTTTCTATCAGCCAACGGTCATAAAATGATATACGATTGCATGCCAGAACTGAAAATCTAAGACATCAGCGTCGACAAGTTTATGGGATCGGATGACAACGTTGCACCGTATTGTTTTCAAACATTTGCGACAAACAATATATAAATTCAGAACTGAGTGTATATAAGATTACAGAGGGATAGCAATTGGTCACGGCCCATTTATGTTTGTATCGATATTTCAAAACCATATCCAACCAATTGGGTATATACTATATACTATAACACTTTGCCAAATTCAATGCGAATCAATTACATAAGCTGGATGGAAAAAACACCGCCGTATCTACAGTGGAAGACGGAGGTAGATTGTGCTAAAGTAACATAGATTGTGCTAAAGTAACATCATCTAACGAAGATGAGACAGTGCAAATTGACTAATAATCAAATTGTTTGACTGAAAAATGAACGAGTGTTCTAGTAACGGTTTATAATATGTGATATTCAAAAAAGAATTTAGAAAATATCATAACACCGCGACGAATTATTCATATAAAAGTCAATAACGCGCCAAGTTTCAGAAAAATATTAAAATGTTCCAGTATTAGAAAGAAAAATGATTTTTATGTTATATGCTTTTGTATAATAAAAAAAAGTTATGAATAAAATAAACTTGTTTTTATGTTAAAAATTCCAGATACAATAGGAATATTTTATTACTTACAATATTTACATAATTTTATAATAATAAATAAAATGTAGGAATATTTATGGGTTTTTTTTTTATTTTGAGAAAAAAAACAGTTAACCAATAATATGATATCAAACAGAAATAATTGTTATTTAATTACAAACGTAAAAAGGAACGTTTATAATGTATTATGAATTTATTAATCATTGCATGTAGAAACAAGGTAACAGAGAGCAAAGTGTTAACAACTGTGTTACCGCAGAATAAATAAAATTTAATTTATTCTGTGGTGTTACTCTTTACAGCAAGACTTTTATAGAATAATAATTGGATCCAACACTAATAAAAACACTAATTAATGTATTTATTGTGATTAATCATGACGTATAAGTATTAAAAATACACAATTATAATAAACATATTTATTTTTATTTAAATTTTCATCGGGTTTTCACATATAATAATAAGCGCATATTGTTATCAATATCAATTATTTTTTATTGAACTTAAGTTCGGTGACTAGGGCCATTAGCTGTTGTAAGGGTTATGAACTGTGGTAGGGGTAAGGTTGGTACGGTAGGTTGTTTTTTTTACAATTATTACGATTGATAGCAAACAAGTGTATGTGTGCCGTGTGGCAAGGTTTTTAACCACTATGATCCCGGATGGTCACCCATCCAGGAGCTAGTAGCTGTGGCCATTACTTACTCTCAGTCGCATTCCGCAACTAGTAGCAGCCAACGTGTCACGCCAAGCCACAATATCAATCATTATTCGCGCTGCAAATTGCAATACCCATAAAAGCATATTTTTTATAATTAATAATGTTAACTTAATATTATTATACGAATGTGGAGCAAATTTATTACTCAGACGGAATAATATTAATAATCATTACTCGGTTTTGTTTGTTTCAGTTAATTGATAAAAACAATGACGGCAACGTAACTTTAGATGAGTTGATCGAATGGTGTAGCCGGGACGAGGGAATACTCCAGTCGCTAGACACGTTGGATACCGTGTTGTGAAACGAGCCTCGCTCGTCCGATGTGCGCGTGGGCACGAGAACCCGGGCGAGCTTGTTCAATTGGTAGACAGACGAAATAAACGCATTGTGATGGCTAACAAGAAATAACTAAATTTAAAGAGCAAAAAAAAACCACATACAAAATCGAAAAACTTCGCTAGACACCTGCTGCAATGATCATCGACTCTTTTTGGCTTTTTAAAAAAAGAAACTTGTCAGCGTAACATATTAATAAATTTTTGTCTAATCTTTAAATTGTATCACTACTTTTTATACACACTTATTATAATATTACACAATTAACATTTTGGCGGACAAGACGATAAATAAGGAGAATGGCACTATCACAACTATCTATCTCTATATAGTATACGCGTAATAACTAATAATAGAACCCGTGCCTTCTCACTTGTTTAATTAGTTGCAAAATCTTATATCATGTATAATATATAAGCATCATGTTTTGCTATAAAATTATAAATAATTACGTAGAGCTGTTTTACTATTGTTTTTAAATTGTAAACAAAAACAGCAAAATATTGTGCTATACATATATACTGACGTTAGATTTTTAACAATGATTGCTGCACGACCGTCAATCGGATATAATATATGATGAACACGGACCGGAAGCAATCACATCGTTATAATAATAACAATAATAATATATTATGCTTTGCTGCATACTACCGCCGGAAACGCATTTATCTGTTAATCCAATACCGTGTCTAGCCATATTGGTGTAATATTAATGTTATATTGTTTTTCGTGCCTAAACACAACACGTAATTAAATAAGACCTATAAATGGCTTGAAACAAAATATTATTATGTATTTTTATCGATTTTTAGACGTTTAATAGATTTGATAAAATAATATTTATTACATAAGATAAAAAAAAAAAAAAAAAAAAAAATGTTTTTAAGTATATTTCGTTTGCAGTACATGTATAGTTGAACAATATGATATTTATATCATAATTGTGAAGTTACTAATACTTAATATTAAAATAATTCTGTTTGCTACAGGGTAATCTAAAAATAGTGTCCAATTTTTCTTCCTATTGGATACTTTAATGTTTTAATGTTTAAAGTAATTTATTATAATTTATAATATATTAAAATCGAACAAACGATAATTTAGTACCTAATTCTTCAACTTAAGTCCTACTAATTTATTTGTTTCTATCGTATTTATTGATGTTGTCTAATTATTATAATTATTATTGTTATTTACCTATATCCAATGACAAAACTAATAATTAATAGATGATAGTAGTTTTCTTTAAACTGTTTAAATAAATTTACTAAAATTGGCAAATAAACTAATAATTCATACTACTAAATTCTAATGGCCTACATTAATAGGTTTAAATTGTTTTAGTTATTTTTCTTGTTGATAATTGTTTCTTCTTTGATACGTTTTAAAATGTTTTCTTCAATCCGTGAAGATCAAAAAAAAAGTACATAAGTACTGTTATACATAATGTTTTTGATAGTTTATACATCAACCTATAGAGTATAGATACAATATTTTTATTATTATTCATACGTAAATTCATCAATCGATAAAAAAAAAAATATAAACAATTTTATATTTGTTATCTTTAGTTGTTTACATGAAACACATATCAAAAATAAAACGCAGGTAATGTGTATTTTCGAAAATACAATATGTTATTATAATATGTAGGTAAGCAATTATTGATTTTATTATAATGTATTAATTTCAAAATAAATCGTAATATGCAAAACAATATAATTTAATTTGGTTCAATAAAATTATTTTATTTTACCACAGCAATTAAACTATAACGATATTAAATTTAAAACTCTTATCGAAACCGAACAAAATTACAAAAACTAACAATACACTTAATTTATATTAGGTACGAGTTACTGTAGCAATTAATGTCTGATAAGTTTGTGTTTATACGAATTAATGTATAGTTAAAAAAAAATAATGTCCAACTCAGTTTATACTTTACCCAATTCCTATGTAAAACTAAATGTCTAAGTTATTAAAAAATACTAAAATGACATTGTGTTCATATAAATATATTATATTTAATTACTAATTCCAAACTTTAAATCAAATATACTAAATTATTATACATAACATTACGTTCTATAAACTCGATTGTAAAATTAACATATTATTTATATTTGAATATGAAAAATGTTCACGTAGACAATTGTTGCCTGTTGGAACTTTATAATATATTCAATGAAAATAAGTTGTGATTTAATCGATAGTCGTCTTATTGTCTTTTATAACTTATAATATTTACTATTTAATTTAGTTCCTGATTTTATTTATGTATTGTATAATTATTTAATAAATTTAAACACAAATTATTTTATTTTTTTTATTTTTTTTTTGAATTTTAAAATTTATTGTACCTATTATTATTATTATATATTATCCATATTATACCTATGCCTTTTGAATACGTGATGTACTATTATATTTCAATGAAATTCATTGTAATTTATTGTAAATAAAAATTCTCCCATTAAAATTGGTATTTGTCTAATAGTTAATAATCATTTATGTATATCTTTAAGTTTTGCAAGATCAGTAATCACTCGTCCAAAAATCATCCACTATGACAGAAACTCGATAATTATATAATGTGTAAATACATTAAAGCCACGCTTTATAAAAAATAATACTATAAATAACTATTTAATTTTAAATTTAAGTTATATTTACCTAATTTTAATTTTGTTTATAAAAAAAACAAAAAAATTTCTTACAAGAATCGTGTCGATGAATAGTTTTACAAATAAGAAACTTAATTATATTATTTTTTTATTTTTTAAATTAATATTTAGGCAAGTAGTACTTATAGCAGGTATAAGCTAAAACTTGATTAAAAGTTTAAAGTAACAACCCTAATATTAATAATAAAATATATTTCAAGATGAATGTAACATATTTAGGTACTTATTCTACTGTACCTATAAAATTATATCTTTATTCAAATGAGGTATTATATTTGAAAGGTACTAATAATAATAATAATATTTATGTCAAAATGATCATACAGAGTAATTTTTTAGTGATTTTTATGATTAAATTCGTTGTACGTCTAATTATTATTATAACTAAATTAAATATAATTTATATGATATGCCTAAATAATAATAGGATTTATTTATATATATATATGTATATATAGTTATCTTATTATTAAATAATACAGGTGAGGGGGTAACGTTTTGTTTTATATTAGATGTCGAATGGGTTATTTTTTATAGGTATGGTAAATTTGAATTCAATGATATATTATTATATATGAAAAGTAATTCTGAACAAAGGCCCTCTATCAAAGAGTCAGTCTTATCTCTTAGTGTATTTCATGATATATTAAAATAATTTATCTTACCCTTAGTATTACTTTGGGTTGATATTAATTTTACCAAAAATCTAATTTTTAAAACTTAGATATATAAGGATACATTTTTATAAATTTCTAACTTAAAATGCATATAAAAAAAAATTATGCTGTGTAATTTAAATATTTTTTAAACAGATACAAGAACAAATTATGTGGAATCATGGATTAAATTTTCAAGAATCTCGATCCACAGATGCCGGATATTGAACATCGACACGACTCACCAGTACCCACCGGATGTCCACGACACGCGACACCATATAGCAGCGTAGTTGACACTGTAACAGGTTACAAAACGTGCTTATAATCGGTGACGGCATTTCCAGACGCATCGGTAGCGGCATCGGCAACCGACCGTTAGAACTTGACCGGTGGGGCACCGTAACAAAAACCACATATCATACACGAACCAGTATGGTAGTTCACCAAATTTTCACCCTCAGAATTCCATCATTCAACCCCAGAGGCCCAGAACGTTCGGTCGTTATCCGCGCTTCGACTGTTTCACTCTATTACAAATCGCTCCAGTCTCTGTCATCGTCATAGCCCGTCCCTACCGTTGCCATCCAAGTGCACAACATCGCAGTCCATTGCAGTTGAACAATCACTATCATTCAGTCATAATCGTCGGGAGCCCGCAACCCTAACTCCAAGCATCACACTCAACCGCCCCGGACCGATTGCGGTAACGTAAATATAGATAACCAGTGCGGTAATAATAGTTAAATTCTCATGAATGTCATCGGTTCTCCTTCCCTGTTAGTTATTCATTTATCGTTTAATATTCGTTTTAATATATTTTTTGTTATTATTCTTAGTTAATTAATACCTATTTATTCATTATCAAAAAAAAATTACTCTAGTTATATTATAATATAGATAACATTTTTTTATTTACACAAAAAAATAATTTGTTTTTCGTTTAATCATTTATTGTTCATATTGAATTTACCGACATGTTTTATTGTTGAAATAGATTATGACCAACAAAAAAATTAGATATCTATCGTTCTATTGAACAATAAGTATCACGATTTCTCAGTGTCGAGAAAAATCACTGTAATGGATGTACTAAACTTAAATTCAAGTATTCCTTTTTTATTAAATTACAGTAATATTTTTTGTAATTTATTATGTTATTTTTATTTAATTAATACAATAATATATTGTAACGTGGTCGGGAAAACCTTGTTACGATATTTGGTGGAGGCGCCGAACCATTGGTCACTTATATATGAATAAAGTTATCAATAATATACGAATCTGTTTGGTTTATATCTCTCTGTGCTTAACATTTTTCAAAAACTTAGATATAATATAAATATTTTTCTATATATGTAAAAGAAAAATACGGTTTTTTATATAAACCACTTAGAAATTTTGGGTAGTTGCAACTTATTCATTTATATTTTATAGCATATAAATATACAATAAAGTAGGGATAAAATTCATAAATTAAACAATGGGTTAAGCTAAAATTTATTTTTGGTACCATTTTAAAAATTAAGCCAAGTATTATTGTGAGATACAGTGAAAAAGATTAGAAATTTAAATTTTTTTATTGGGGAATGTTACGTGTTTTATAAAAAAATATATTAAATTTAAAATGACAGTTACCAAGATGAATTTGTATTGGAATTTTTTGAAAATTTCGAATTAATGGCAAAAGCAAATAGGTGGGAAAATAAGATGAAATTAGTAAATTTACAACTTTATTTAAAAGTATAAGCATACAAACTATTAAAATTATAGACTCGAAAACTTAATTTTCTTTTGAAAAAAAAAAAAATGCTTAAATTTAAATAAAATTGCACGTCTCACTTGAGATAAAAAAACGTTAAGAAATAAATAAAGAAACAGAAAATTAAAAGCCAATGAATCCATTGAGGAGTTTTGAACAGATATAATTTTTTTAATAAGTTAAATAAACAGGACAATATGCCTGAATTGAAGAAAATTGATTTAATTTTAGGTACCTTATCACCCAACTACTATAATGTTATAACTTATACATATGCTAAAAAATAATAGTCTGATAGAATTAAAAAATAATTTAAAACAATAATTAAAGTATACGAAATCAAGAGCCCATAAATTAGAAGAAAAATTTAAATTAGAAAACAATATTTATAATTCAAATGTTAATAATAATTCAATGAAACATAATAACAATAATTATAATAATTATGATAACTATAATAACCACCACAGTAGTAAACGAAAAAAACAACAACAGTCACTACAGTGTACATAAATTTAATAATTACAAACCATCATTTTTTGATTAACAAGATAATAACAATCATAATATCCGAAGTCTTATCAATATAAATAATAGTAATATTAACATGAATTATAATAACCCTTCTAACTTCAATAATTAATATAATAATAATAAAAACAATAATTATAACAGACCTAATAATTTTCATAACTTTATTTATAACG